CCCTTTCAAAGCGATGACCCTCCATACCTAATCCAAGGTTCACATTTATTATTATTAGATTAGATTTGAAAACACACAAACTAGAATAGAAAGAGATTTACTCTCTCGATGTCCATTGCTTTCAACCCCTGTTCTAGCTCACAAGAAACAGATCTCTTGACTCGTTCTGTGAAACGAATCAAGGGAGACGAAAATCATTCGATCGTTGAAGATTTTTTGATGCAGGAACCGATGGAGCGACCTATCTCGTACAAGGATATGGTCTCAGCCCAAGAACCAACTTCAATTATCTGCGACAGCTCTTCGCGTGATGACTTCTTGGAAGAGGACTCAGACATGGAAGATGATGGGTCTATCCCCACAATCCTTATCTCCAAGGAAGAAAAGAGGAGGATCACATCCCCATGGCTCAACTCGATCATCATCAAAGCCTTTGGAACAGACAGAGCTGGATATAATTTTATCCTCCCAAGAATTAAAGCTCAATGGAAACCCAAGGCGAAAATGGATTGTATTGACTTAGGACTTGATTTTTTCCTCATACGCTTTCAAGATAGAGATGATCTGAACAAAGTCCTTCACAGGGGACCACGGTTTGTCGGTCCTTATTTCCTGACTATTAGGAAATGGGAACCAGCTTTTAATCCAGAAAAGGCTACGTTCAAAACAACGGCAATCTGGGCTAGACTCCCAAGATTACCTATTGAATACTATGACTTTAAAATTCTAGAAAGGATTGGCAAGATGTTGGGCACTCCACTGAGAATTGATGCTCATACTGCACATCAATCCAGGGGACAATATGCCCGTATTTGTATCCAAGTTGATCTTGATGAACCACTTGTTCCATGTGTTCGTATCGGAAATCATATTCAAAAGGTTCTGTATGAAGGCCCAGTTTCATTATGTTTCTCATGTGGTTGTGTTGGTCACAAAGAAAACCACTGTCCTCTACAGTTTTCTGAGATCAACCCTCCTAATGAGGAAACTGCCATCAACTCACAGCTCCCCTCTGAATCAGAAAATGTTCAGGATATTGGAATTACAGAATCTCAAAGCTTTGGCCCTTGGATGTTGGTAGAGAGGAAGCGATCCAAAAAGAAACCAAGTACTAGCTTTAAAGCTGGCCAATCAAATATTTCGATGGAAAAACAGAGCAACCATCCTCAAGCAAACTCAGTGAGTGGACCCAGCGGGTTGAGAGTCGGGTCAAGGGCACATATTTCAAAAGGGAGCGTCAGAGTTGACAGTGCATTAAATGAGACTACCGTTATGCCAAACGGTCTGAATCCCTCTCCTCACCAAAAGAACCAACAATGTCCAGCTCCAAATGGTGGTCCCAACATAGGAAAGGCCCAAATACCCCAACAAACCCAGCCCATCCACAAAGGAGATAAGGTTCAAGATAAGATTTCTTCTACCCCTACTCCCACACGTGGAAAGACCTCTTTCACAAAAAATTCTACCAACCACAACAAAAACCAAACCAATGTCAAGAGTATTTCGTCTGAAAGATCAAGCACCTCCAATCTAGTTTTGGATAATGGATCCAACAACATTCACCATGCTCAGCCTTACATGGGATGTCTATTTGGTCAACAACAACAAAATCCTACGAATGGAGGATGCTCTCTCACTGATTCTGGAAAAGAACCCAACTCCAATCGAGGGTTGGTCGGTCGAGGAGATGAAGACATGCTAGCTCAAACCGATCTTGGTAAAGAAAAGTGTGGACCTTATGCCATTTCTTCCCCCACCTCAAATGCAAGAGTGGATCCCACTTCTGCAACATCTTCAGGCCCCAAATTTGTGCATTCAGGAGTTGGGAAGATGGATCTTGACGACAGAGATGGTTCATTGGGACGAATGGTTAGAACCGATCTCACCGAAGGTAGCTTCATTCCAAGTGGATCACCCATTTCTACACCAACTCAGGATGATAGGATGCATGAAGACAGTGCATTTGATAACCCAAAGGGAGCAGATCTAGCACTCCAATGAGTTTCAATACAAGCAACTTGTTCTGCCGTACTATTTTTCGGATGTCAACCTGATGGTGATGAACAAGGACGGTCAACCAGTATGGATGCAAGAACTGGCCCGATGGATGATGACTACCTTCAGTAAGAAAGTGTGGACTATGAAGGTTTTGTCATGGAATTGCCGCGGAGCGGCTAATGTTGATTTTAAACGCAATGTTATAGATATGATCAACAAACATAATCCTGGGATTTTCATCATCATGGAGACAAAACTTGCTGGTGAGAAAGCTAAGGAGATTGCGGCTTCCCTTAGGTTTCTGAGAGCCTCCATTGTCGATGCTAATGGTTTAGCAGAGGGGATCTGGCTCCTCTGGGATGATACTCGTTTTCAAGTGAATGAGCTCAACGAAAGAGCTCAAGTTATCCATGCCATGGTTAAGGTAAATTCTCATCCTTCCTTTTCTAATTTTATTTGGTACTTATCTGCTGTTTATGGTTGTCCTCAATTCGAGACTAGAAGTATTCTTTGGGAGAACCTTAAACAGTTCTCTCAAGTCATTCAGGGTCCTTGGTTGGTTATCGGGGATTTCAATGACATTACTTGCCAGGATGAGAAACTTGGGGGTAACATTGTGCCCCAATACCGAATCAGAGCATATGTGGACTGTATGAATTATTGTGATCTTCTGGACTTGGGTTACTCAGGCCCAAAATTCACTTGGGTGAACAAACGAGAATCCAACCAGTTAATTAGAGAACGTCTTGATAGGGCTTGGGTCAATCCTTCTTGGAGAATGCTCTTCCCCGAGGCTTCTCTTCGTCACCTTCCTCGGCTCCACTCGGATCACTGTCCAATTCTGCTTCAGCTAGATCCTGTGGTTCCAAGACATGGGGATAAACCTTTTAGACTTGAAAAATTTTGGTTAGATCATGAGTCTTTTAAGGATCTTGTGCTAAAGGATTGGTCTAATCCTTATCTCTCCTTTTATCTTTGCTCGGTTGCTTTTAAAGATTCTTGCATTAGCTGGAGCAAGGCAACCTTTCCTAATTTCCACAAAAAAAAGAGAGAGCTTTTGGCTCAGCTAGATGGGATCCAAAGAACCCTTCAACATGGAAACAATCCTTTTCTCCTAAACTTGGAGGATATCCTCTCAAAGGAGTATCAAACAATCCTTAAGTATGAGGAGGATTTGTGGTTTATGAAATCTCGAGTTCAATGGATCCAAAAAGGTGACAAAAATTCAAAATTTTTTCATGTTTCTACTATCAAGCGTAGATCCCATAATCGGATTCTTGGCCTTAAGGACCTTAATGGTAACTGGTGTTTTGATGCAAAAGATATTAACTCTCTTATTACCTCTCATTTCAGAAATCTTTATAACTCTTCCCATGTCCAATCTTTCGATGACTCTTATATGGATATCCTCAATGGTCCGTCAATTCTCTCGTCTAGTTGGCATCATTTATCTAACATCCCTTCCCAGAGGGAAGTTTGGACTGCACTTAACACTATGCAGCCTTTTAAAGCCCCTGGACCTGATGGCCTGCATGTTGGCTTTTTTCTGAAATACTGGGAGTTTCTTAAGGAGAAATTGTGTTATGAGATCTCCAACATTTTCTCCTCTGCCAGTATGACTAGTTCATGGAATTCTAGCCTTTTGGCTCTCATCCCCAAGGTCAACAAACCTGAGTCTGTTTCTCAATTTCGACCTATTGGTCTTTGCAATATTTCCTACAAAATTGTCACAAAAATTATTGTTCTTAGACTCAAGCCGATTATGGATAGTCTTGTCTCCCCCATGCAAGCTAGCTTTATCCCTGGGCGCAATGGTGTTGATAATGTGACTCTACTAAGAGAGTTCATCTACTCTTTTAGTAGAAAAAAGGGGAGACAGGGAGAAATGATCATTAAATTAGATTTAGAAAAAGCATATGATTGTTTGGAGTGGAGCTTCGTCAGAGAAACTCTGATTTTCTTCAACTTCCCACCCAATCTAATTGCTCTTATCATGTCATGTATTTCCTCTGCAAATATGGCGTGCATTGTTAATGGTGGTATCTCCGAATCTTTTCAACCATCTAGAGGATTGAGATAAGGAGACCCTCTGTCTCCTTACCTATTCATCCTCTGCTTGGAATTTCTTGCTCTTCATATCTAACAAGATGTCCAAAATGGACATTGGAAGGGGGCCAAACTTGGGAGATCAGGTCCGATTATCTCGCACCTTTTCTTTGCTGATGATCTTATCTTTATTGGGAAAGCATCTATTGCTAATGCTTCTCACTTGAAAAACTTGTTGAGTTTCTTCTGTTCTCGTTCTAGACAGAATATAAACCAAAGCAAGTCCAAAATTCTTTTTTCAAAAAATACTGATGATCTCACCAAGTTCAATATCTGTCATACTCTTGGCTTTGCCGAGACTAACTCCTTTGGCAAGTATCTTGGGATTCCTATTACCCCTAAGAAGGTTTCCAAGAAGGATTGCTCTTTCATTGTGGATAAAGTCAGAGGCAAACTGGCAGGTTAGAAGGCTAACATGCTTTCACTTGCTGGTAAAGCTACTCTAACCTCTTCTGTCCTTTCTACTATCCCTAATTATTATATGCAAGCGGTCTACCTTCCTAGCTCGATTCATGATGAACTTGACAAAATCTCTAGGGATTTTATATGGGGTTCTACTGATGAAAAAAAGAAAGCTCATCTTGTCTCATGGGAAAGAATTACTCAACCAAAGAGGAATGGGGGTATTGGTATCAAATCTGCTAAGGAGGCTAATCAAGCCTCTATGGCGAAGCTCCAATGGAGGCTCGCTGCAGATAAAGGTAATTTGTGGGCCAAGGCTCTCAAACAAAAGTATAAGATTGAGGGACCTAGGCATGATTTTTCCAACTCCCCATCCCCTGTCTGTAAAGATATGGCAAAAGGTAGTCATATTTTTGGCTTAGGCATTTCTTGGATTCCTAGAAATGGGAATGATACTTATTTTTGGCAAGACAGGTGGTGTGGGTCTAAACCACTAAATTCTGTCCTTTATGGTCCTTTTAAACCAACGGATTGCCACCTGAAGGTGGCTGATATTTTAACTCCCCAAGGCACTTGGGATTTAGATAAAATATCCTACCACCTTCCTTCAGATATTGTGGCTTGTATTCAAGCCATACCATTGTCCAAGCATACCACTGAGGATGATAAGTTTGTTTGGAACTCATCTGCTAATGGCACTTTCTCTATGAATTTTGCTTATAATATTGCAAAAGGTTTGCCTATATGCCAAAAAGATCAATGGTATTGGATCTAGAAGGTTCATACTCTTCCAAAAATCCAATATTTCTTATGGCTCCTCATGCATGGTCGAATTCAAACCTTTGACACTTTGGCTAAATGGGGTGTTGTTACTGATAGCAAATGCCCCATGTGCCGACTGGCACCTGAAACCATCAACCATCTATTCAAGGAGTGTCCTTTTTCTGATTGCCTTTGGTCTGCTGTTTCTCCTCGTAATTATCTTCTTCTTCATCATGTTGTTGATTTTAAAGATTGGCTACGAGCTAATTGTGTTAGTGGTAATTCTAATTGTGACAACACAAATCATTGGAGCACCTTTTTTACCTTCACTTTATGGACCATCTGGTTTACTAGGAACCAATTTGTCCATAATAGCACCCAAATGAATATTCAGCAAATTAAGAGTGTTATTCTTAATAGAGTGCA